GGGAAAGAGCTTAGATTTTTCCGACGAAGGAAAAAGCGAAAATGAAAAAAAGAGAGAGGAACGAATAAACCGGGAAGAAAATAGGAGAGAGGTTGTATGCCGGAACCCGGTCGGCCATCTTGGCCGCGTGCCACGTGACACGGGCGTGGCGTGACGTCATCGGCGATCAATAATGACGAGGAGCGAGGGAGAGGGAGAACCTCGAAGAAAGAGGTAAAGAGAAAGAAAGAGAGAGAGAGAGAGAGAGAGATAGTATACGCGTATTTCTCATACATTTCAACTATCAGAGCCCGCCGCCACCGGTATCATCCCCCCTTCCCCCTCATCCGGTTCTCCCCTTTCGAACGACCCGATCTTCCGCCAAACCTGTCGCATCCCCCCGACGCCCACCCTTCGCGATTTCTCTTCCACGGGAAATTCGCGTTACCCTCTTCCGGCCTCCTCGCGAAATAAAGTCTTACAAGTACTTTTCTAGAGTATATGTTCTAGAGAAAGTTCTTGGGGGGTTGTTCATGCACGAGAATCGTCCCTCTTTACGGAATATTCATTTTTCACTTCAAAAGATTTACAATCTAAGCGTATTAATGATATATTCTTTGATCAACCTGCGACTGAGTTTTTCCTAACTAAAATATCAAGATATCAGAGTGGCTTAAACATTATATGCAATTGGAAAGATTAAGAGGAGATCTTCTTTTCCGCAAATTAAAAAACTTTTCAAAATTTCAGAAGTTCATAATTTTATATCAATGTATGTCACTTTGTATGTTTCAACGCGAAGTATTCGCCACATTAAGTCAAGATTTCTTCTTCGGTCATTTCTTTTAAAATTAATTATAATGTAATATGTAAGACTTTCGAACGGTGTATCGTAAATTGCTGTTTTGCCGTGAAATTCATAACAATATCCGTTTATTTGAGCAAATTTGGTCTATTAATACTAGTGAGGCCATTTCTGTCTTATATATACAGATACCCCGTGGATGGTATAGTTAGGCGTGTGTTGCTCCGGTTATAAACATATTTCTAAACATATTTCTGATTGATGCAAATGGATGCGACATAAATAATTGATATAATTATCGGAAAAATGGACTCGGGAAATGGACTCGCTACTTCTTTCTCATTTCGCGACTTCGATTATAATATTATTGTTTTTTTATCGAAAAGACAACGGTTTTTTCGTTACACACGATTATTACCGCGGCTACAGGTCTCCACCCCCGATGAATGATATATTAAGTGATGGCGGGGAGTGCGTGTATGTGTACTTGCATGTGCAATAAGTATACGCGATAACGGTGGTATCGTGCAACCCCGGTGCGAAACCGCAGTGCGGTTCATTAAAACGAAAGGACGGCGCCAGAAACGGCATGAGTCCACGTAACGCTGAAGAAAAAAAAAAAACCCGCCGCTTTCATACATCGGCTATTGCATGCAGACGGCAAACACGTATGCACGAGTGAAATCTACCGCTAATATCAGCGGCGCGTTAGTAACCACACGACGTGACATATATGTATATCGGGAAAATTGCGCGCGATTAAATCTTTCGTGATCGATCTATTTGTACAGTGCTTCGATTTCCTTTTATGTCCAGCAAGGAAATTTTATAGAGAAAGAATATGCTTATGATTCTAGAAATTTATTTCATTTTACAAATGATCATTATTATATGCGAAAATCATCTAAAAAATTATAACTTTCAAGTAATTGAATTTAAGATGCAGAATTTAGTGCTCCTGTTTTTTCTTTTTTTAATCTTGCGTTAATCGATCTGTAGCACCATAAAAAATATTATTGACATAAAAAAAGAGTATAGATGGGAAGTTTATGATTGTTTTGCGAAGATAATTGTATTTGCTCCAATAATATCAGAAGAAAACTTTCCTTTTCTTTAAATCGTTATTTACGATCAATTCGCCGAGTATCATCATTCGACTTTATCAAAGTAGATAGATTCGCAGTCATCATTATACGCGTTCGAGGTATTTCGTAAAAAAGAAATATGCTTATGTTAGTATGGGGATGACTGATGAAAGTATTGGAAAACGGTACTATACCTCGAGATACAAGCGCTACTACAAAATCAATATCCAGCAAAGGGGCAGCGCGGAAATATGCCTGCGAAACGCACTGAGAGAAAGAAAGAGAAAGAGAAAGAGAGAAGGGACGACAAGTCTCGTGTTCAGGACGAGGTTTGCTCCTTCTACCTCCGTCCTTTCGAGCACGCAAATTCTCAAGAGTGAAATTCACGTTCTGAATACCTTCTCCGTGACGCGTGACAAAGCCAGGGGCAAACTAGTGCCGATGCAAAATTTACCAACCCGAAATTAGTTTCCTTTGTTACGTGAAATTCTTGCAAATATAAAATTTATTGTTTTGCCTCAATATAATTTCCGATTTAAATAAAATAAATTTCTAAGCGTCTATCTTATGTTAACTTGTAAATTTTACTTTTTATTAGCATTTCTATCAAATTTAAGCGTGTAAATCTATTACAATTTGTCATGGGTAAAAAAGACGGGTTGTAAAAAAAGATTAAAAGATTAAATTAATTAAAGATTAAAAATGGTTTTTCGTGTTGTTTTTTCGATGTTGAAAATTTTTGAGATTTACATATCCTTCGACAGAGTAATCGTTTTCACTTACTATTTCGCGGAGTCGTTCAACTGATACTCGTTGCTCCTGCCAAAGCATTCCTGTACTCCATTGTCGGACCACAGCCTCTTCATAGCCGCCAATAATTCTTCACTAAAAGGTTCCGTGTCTTCCATTCTTTGAATTACGTCAAACACCATTTTTGCGTCCGTCTGTAAGCACAAAAAAAAAATTTTTTTTAATTTTTACATCTCCGAAAAAATATTCCTACAATGTTGACTCACAAAATTTGCTTTATCTCAGGCTTTGATAGTTGCCAATAATTCTACGCGTAGTGAATAATAATACATCATAATATAAGAATATATCGTAAAATGATATAAGATACATTAAATGTTTTAGCACTTTCTATGCTTGAATATTAATAACTATATTCTCAATTTCTAATTACTTGACAGGAATAATAATTTCAGTCGAATTATTTTCCTATGAAATAATGTTGATGTCAAGTTGAATCTCTGGCATAAATTCAATATTGGACATTTTATATGATTAACATCTTTGATATACATATATTTTTTAGTTATAATAAATAACACATTTATAAGTATTCTTTTCGCGCATTGTTTTTTCGTGTATGTACGTAATTATTATATAATTTATAATATATTATGCAATGACATACGCGCATATGTATAAAGAGTTCTATGTGTAAGGAGAGGTAGTCAATAATTATTCCGGCGATCTTGGAGACGAGCATTGGGGCAAGTCGGATCGCTTTACACGATCGCTTTAGACAGCTAATCGACCAGGCAACATGTCGTGATTCACCGTTAAATACTTCATTCATTAGATAACTGACGGCGTTCAGTGAACTACCATTCTGGATGTCATGTCATACCTCTCGCGCAATAAAAGTCAACATGCAATATTTAAATAATATACGAGATATACGCGATGTTTGTTACTAAACATATTTCCATAATTTTATAGTTGATATTTCATTGAAATTAAATGATATACGCGTTGATACACTGTATGCATAAACAATATAAGATTCTCGCGGTCAAATAAAATATAAATTACATCAAAAAATTAAATTAAATGATTGATAATTTTTCTATCGCATGCATGATATTTTTTCAAATTGAAAAATTTGTAGAGTTAATAAGAAAATTTTTCAGCAAATTAAAAAACTATGTATGCCATTTACTAAAATGGCATGTTACATATGATTTTGTCCAAATTATAAAACAAGCAAAAGTGTTTGATTTGTATATTCACCAATTGCCAAAATTTAATAAAACATGATTGTCAAAAGTTATTAAGAAATAACTTTGAATGTGCATGATACCACATGCGCATTATAATTTAAAATTTATATCCCGACACTGTAGCCTTCTCTAAAAAAGAAAAAAAATCGCTGTTTTTTAAAATGTTAAAAGTACACATAAATATACATTACCTCTCGCTCGTTGGTTGAAAAACTGATGCCCAGGTTAGGCATTGCTCTGAGAATAGCGACTAGAGATTGTATCGTGTTACTGTATACGACGGGTCTGTACTGCTTGAAGTCTTCCGGCGTGAAACCGCTCTCGTGGATAATTCTGAAAGCAGAATCGGACTCGCTTTAGCACGTAAAACATCAAACGAACGAAATTTTTTTTTTTTTCCACGAATATTGAAACAGAGAGAATGAAAAAGTTTAAAAGAACACACACACGGGGGGGGGGGGCGAGCGTTTATTCTAAAAATATAAAATGCCGTGCACTTCTTTCAAAATAAAAATAATTTTCTAAAGAAACGAAATAAATGCGCCGAATATAATTGATACTTGTATTAATAGATTAAATGAGTAAAAAATGACACGTACGAATATTCCATTTAATTTAAATGTCTCTCTTATTCTTTCTCGCAAATAGTTTGCGCAGTTTATTATAATATATACGCGTGTCACGTATGCAGTTGCTCGAATTAATGTATATCACGTAATGCATCGTGTGTAAGTGTATGAATTGCAATGTACGCTACACATATTAATGTGACTTACATGAGTGCCCATACATGTCGTAACAATATTCAGAGTCAACATACATGAGTTATAGAGTCGGCGGAATTATATATACAAATGAAAACAAACGCAGAATAATATTATACTATGTATAAATTTTCATGTCAGTTAGATATATTTTTTTATATATAATCTCTTTCTTTCTCTCTCTCTCTCTCTTTCTCTCTTTCATCTTGCAAATACTTTCAACATAATTTTTAGAAAATATAAGTCATATATCACATCTCTCGTCCTATTATATGCAATATATATATTTATATTCGAGAAAATTTAAAAGATTTTCAAAAATATAACAAAACATTAATTAATTATAAGTACTTATCTCAACAATCTTTCACTAGTATAGATTTCTTTATTATATGTATATTTTAAAATATAGACATTTAAAAACTTTATATAATAACTTCTATGTATATCATACATAGCGTATCTTCATTTCTTACTTTAATGTACAAAAAAGGTAAAAGTATAATTTGAATGCTTTAACTCGTAAATATTAATTATAATTCATATTTGTAACATTTTGTAATATAAAGCTCTTCGTTTCGTCAAAGCAACCATATATAAAACAACAGTTAATGGCACATTAATTCCAACAAAGAATATTATACTGCCTATTACGTTAATAAATGACATAGAAACATGCAGTGGCGTCCCTCTTCCTTCACTATTTCGAGAGTAACGATGATATAAAGAGCACTACGTACGCACGCACATATCATCGGATTTATGGGTACTTGCACGCGAAGGAAAACCGGATATAAGGGTGTACGTAAACTCGCGAGCTTCGCTCGTACTTCAGTCTCAGTTACCCACTGTTTACTGCATTACGTGCATCAATAAATTATGCAGCCGGAATGTACAAGAGATATAGTACAGATGAGAATTGTACATATAGGGATCCTTATTTCGAAAATGCTATGAAAATACAGAGTCCCGATTGAGAGAGCATACTGTATTAATACTTAAATAAAAAAATATGGAAAAAGATATTATAATCTCGATATCCATTTTTTCTATTTTTTCTACGATATAATTAATATCTATTATAAAAATATAAGCAGATCGAGAAATTTTCGCGCAAAATTCCTATCGCTTTTTCCGATATCCCAACTCCACCAAGAACCGTGAAATTTAACGAATATCGAAGCTAAAGCATCAAAGATAACACAAGATGCGCAAAATTAATCAAAACCGGAATAAAAATATCAGTGCTATCGAAATATAACGAGCATCCTTATTCGCGATCGGCAGCTTTCCTTCCGTCGAGAGAACATGCACAGCGGTAACTTTGTTCGTGGGACCCTTTGAACGGGGTCCATTCATAGCGCAGGACACAGGAAGAGAGAGACTCATTCCATCAGAGGAAATATGTTAATCTAGACGAGAAAGTACACGCCGTGATACTAATATCTCAAACAAGCGCGAGTATCACGAAACAGCTGCTGTTCTCGAACACATGCAAAGCGTATCGTTATAGTGCCAAAGTATCGACCTCGCCGAGACGAGGCAACAGTTTGCCTCGAAATAATGCCGATGCACAGACGCGAAAAGATCAATCTATTCGCACATGCGAGAGATGGACGCGCTATTATCCGCTATTCTACTTATTCTTGCGGCGCGGCGATAATAATTCACGAGGAAATTGTGTACACAACGTACGACGTAAAAAGTTTCTTTCAATATATTTTCGAAGATTTATTTATAATCAACAGATTATAATCAAAAGATTCTGATAACATATTTGTAGAATATAATGGGGGGGTATGTAACGAATGGACGTGTCGAGTCTGCATGTGATGAAATAAATTTTCAATGTAAATCTCACATTTCCTATTAGAAGTTTTGGAAAGTTATGCTGTTTGAGAACAGTTACACACATACATACACGCAACATACAGTTTAAATGGAATTTTGATTGTATGAATTTTGATCGGATTTTAGGACAACTTGAATCGTGTGTCACCATTTAGCAAAATGACAAATATAAGAGGAATTGTGAGCGAGGGATGTCTATAAAAGTATAATAAAATATAATTTAAGCGATTTAATTTTCAAGCCAAATAGACACACGTTATGATTCACAAAACATTTAACTTCTAATAAGCAAATCAAATTATATCTGATTAAAGATCTGTTTCATTTTCGTATTATCAACACGTGTTATTTATATATATAAATTATCTTTCATTCTTGAATAAATCTCTCATTAAAAAACGATTAAATTCGATTACTGCGATTCATACAAGTAAAAAATTGATATTAAATTGCTGATAATAATAAAACAAATATAAATAATATTTAATTTATATATAAAACTTAAGGGAAATAAAAACATATTTTAATTAAATACGAGAAAGTACAAGTTAAGCAATGGAAAACATATGTCAGAGGAAAGGATTGTTAAGGATTAAGATAAACACTGAATTTTTAAAATATGAAAATCTGGCTGTCTAGCCGAGGATAAAGAAAGAAGCGTGAGAAAGTATTTCTCATAATCAGTCTGCAACTGACTGATGAGTGTTCGTAAATTAGCATTTCCGCGATGTCGCGAAACATCAAAGGACGCTAGTCTTGTTTGACACCGCATTGTACTATTGTATCCACGGTCTATTCTTGTCGCATTCTTTTCACCGTCTCATTTTCCAAACGGAAGTCATTAAATTTTCGGTTGAGAAGCCCGTGACGTAAAATTCGTCTAATTACGAGCCAATATGTGAGAATTATCCTCAACGCTACGTAAGAAACTCTAATTCCGAATAATTTTCGATCCCATATTTTTCGTAAAACTTAATCTTTATTTTTTTATTGTAATCGATATAAAATTCAGTTTAAAAAATTAAGAGCAGCAAAATGTAACTTAAAAACATAGTTGTATAATCAACTGTTAGGACTAATTATTTTAATTGGTAATCGGGAACAGCTGATACATGTTACGGAACAAACAACAGACACGAATGTAATCTCGTTTCAATAATAGAACTCCTCCCTTCTAAATGATAAGTAGTGTGCATGTAGTACATACAAAGCACTAAAACGATTATACTTACTTCATTTGTTTCACGATAGTACTCTTGCCGGACTCGCCCGCTCCTGAAAAACAGAAAGAGAAGCGTTTAATTGATTTGCAGTCAATCTCGCGATTACGTATCACCGAATTACGTTGCAAAATGCACTTTGCGCAATGGACAAAGGAAAGATAAGCGTCCTTATGTTCTGTTTAATTTCAGATTACTCTGCTTCAACGAACTTGCGATTACAGAACTATTTGAAAATATATTTCATATCAATGATTAAAAAGCTGTGACGAATAATTCCTACCCATTAAATTATTGTTAAAGAGAAATTCCTCAAAACAACTACATCCTTTAAATTCAATAATAGTTCTGACCATATAATAGTGGATTATTTTATAAATTAGTAGTAATCATGTAGATATTAATTTAAATTTTAATTCGTTCTCAGAAAAAAGAGAGATGATTTTCGGTACATCGCGAAAATGGGATCGATGATCGGGTTAGGATAGCGAGTAATCGCGAAATATATGTCGCTCTATTTAACCGGATACATCGACGGAACTCGCTTTTCCTGCTTACCGCAAGCCTCTGTTCTCACACTTCTAAAAGCACTTCCAGTGTAAGTAGGTATCTATAATAGCTACTCACGGCTAGAGTCGTTTAGTATCGACTGAATACACGTGAGATCTCGAGTGAGCCCTCTACAGACGGCGACCGGGAAGAAAGGAGTCATCATCTCGAGACAACGACGATGATCCTCTCGTCGCGCCCTTGTCGAGGTAAAAGCATCGAACAGAATTAAACGAGTTAAAAAAAATTGTCTAGAGTTTATCGGAACGGATTCATCGATCGGAGTTCCGAAATCTCTGTTTACTCTCGACAAGGCCGACTGTACCTCAAAGTCTAGTAAAAGTCCTGTTAAACTCTAACTCCGATAACTCTAGTTAGATTCTATCGAACCTACTCGGTACTATACGAGTATGTTCTATATCGTATACTTTCGGACGAAATATATGAATCGGAGTGTCAAATCACATTTACTATAGTGTCGCGATAAAATTTTAAATCTACTTTATATTTTATGCTGTTCTGTCAAATCTTGAAACTATTGACAATTGCGTTTGTCTTCAGATTTTTTTCTTTCGTTGTAAAAATTATTAATATATAATGCATTAAAATTTAATATTCACCTATTACAAAAGAATTGAAATCAATTTACAATGCTTTGTTATTTCGTGCAACTCTTTCACTCGTCTCATTTTCATTTATTCACGAGTTCACGCTTTGAGAGTATCTTTATCCATCACGCAGATGATAAATGCGAAAAAGAGAAAATGAGATAATTTAGATGAATTTCAGTGCTCGAAAAGAGAAAAAAAAAATGCTCGCACTTTATTGATATTATATGTAAGTCTAGTAGCTAATTATGCACACATGAGAAAATTTACGAAAATTTAAAATAGGCTATCCTGTGTCATTCTCGCTAAATTAAAGAAAGTGAGTAATACCAATAAAATCCGGGAAATTTTGATTACATAAATATAATATGTTTTAGATATTTAGATCATAACTTTTTCATTCAATGAGCCTCTCTCTTCGTCTAAATGCAAGGGAAGTAACTGGTTATTTGTAACAACGTCATCAATATAATTATGTTTTTTTAGTACACGGAAAAAAGAAATTAGCTGCCGTAGCTAAAAACTGCGTGTAGTAACTAGATTTCAGTCGTAATATATGGACAGCGAACATCTTAGCTGTGACACCTATTTATTAGGTGCAACAGCAAACATCTTAACTGTGATATCTATTTATTAAGTGCAACAGCAAACCGTTTTGCTGTAGTTTAGAAATTTATTTTGCAAACCATGATTAGCTATGGTAGCGAAAATTTTTTTTTCCGTGTAACTATAACGATAAAGGCGTTACAAAATTTGTTTGTAAAAGATAGAGTAATTTTAATATATTTTCTCGATAACAAATATCAAATTCAACAATTACTTTTCAAATCTACAAATCTACGAATCTACTTTCGATATTTTCAATGTCGATATCGACATTGATGGTAATAACGATATCTATATAAAGTATATAATAATTTTAATAGTTTTGAATCTTATCTATTTTAAATATATATATTTCTTAAATGATTATTAACTGTTTCTCTAAAGAAATCAAAAAAGCTATTCGGGTGTTTCGTCCTAAGTATCTCACTCTGTATCTATATATTCAAAAAAATGAAGATCCACATTTTTTTAAGTTTCTTTACATTTTATATCGATATCAATATGTCTTGGCTTTTTTAGCATTAAAAAAATAACAAAAATTGTAATAGCAAGTTACTTTTAAAGATCGATAATTTATAATGGTAACAAGTTATTTTTCAGAAAAATAAAATGCTAACGCGTTGTTTTTATAAAGTAACTTTCGCAATCCTGCCTAAACATTATTTTTATGCATCAGGGACTAATTATTATTAATAACAACATGATTGATATATACAATAT